GGAACCAGCCACAGGCGTCAGTCGCAAACACAGGATTTAATTTAAAAAAATTCACGTTCAATTGTTTCTTTGTGTTTTTGTGTGTTTTAATTGCCCCGAGGTGAGTGCAAGAATGTGTCATATATTGAAGTAGCAGCCTGTGTGTCACGAATGTGCAAGAGAAGTCTCACACACACACAAACACACACACAAATGTGCGCGGCGCGCGCATATAAGGTATACCGTTTTGTCAATGGTCACACGATATTGATACTTTTAACTACCCTATAAGTAGGGCCAAACGCAATCTGCGGACGTTTTTTGCTATTTCTGCGGAGAATTTTGGTAAAAATCTGCGGATTTCTGCAGAATTATTTTGGGAGTATCCAGCGGAGTATCATAACTTACACTTTAATATATTAAATAAAAAGTAATAAATTACTGAATAAAAACTGAATAAATTCCGATTTACACATTTACTCAAGTAAACAAACAGAATTAATAATGGGCTAAAAAACTGCAGAAATCTGCGGAATTCTGCTGAAAATTTGCGGAAAATCTGCGGAATTCTGCACGCGAAGATTCCGTGTGGGCCTACCGATAAGTTAAAAATGCATGGAAGATAGTAGCTGAACCTCAATTGCAGGAATATAATTTAACTACTCTTTAATTGAAATGCTACAACTATACTCACCGGCCACTTTATTAGGTACACCTTACTAGTACCGGGTTGCACCTTCTTTGGCCTTCAGAACTTTCTTACTCCTTCGTGGCGTAGATTCGGCAAAAAGACCTGGAAATATTCCTCAGAGATTTTGCTCCATATTGACATGATAGCATCACACAGTTGCTGCAGATTTGTCGGCTGCACATTCTTGATGCCAATCTCCCGTTCCACCACATCCCAAAGCTGCTCTATTGGATTGGGATCTGGTGACTGTGGAGGCCATTTGAGTACAGTGAACTCATTGTCATGTTCAAGAAACCAGTCTGAGATGATTGAGCTTTATGACATGGTGCGTTATCCTGCTGGATTAGGCATCAGAAGATGGAGACACTGTGCTCATAAAGGGATGGACATGGTCAGCAACAATACTCAGGTAGGCTGTGGCATTGACACAGGCCCGGATTGGCTAATCGGGAGGACTGGGAGAATTCCCGGTGGGCCGGTCCGTTTTTTGGCCGCGAGGGCCGGTATCCCTAGCTCCAGAATCTGTTGCTCTCAGCAGTCACACTTTTTAAATTTATTTATTCATTTACTTGACCACGGCCTTTTTATTCATTATTTTACCGCAGCTCTGCTCTTTTTATCTATTTTCTAGCAGCTCAGTGAGCAAGTTGCAGCCCGCAGGTTAATGATGAAATAATTTAGATGAGTCATTAATTGACGAACAGCTGTTGTGGTTCAGTGGATAGCACGTTAGTTTAGGACACCACAGACCCGGGTTCGATCCTCGTCTGAGTAATTAATTTTTTTCCTGTTTATTGTTAAGACATATAATACTGTTAGGGTTGTTGAACATTTGAAGTTCTAAAGCAGCTGTTTTCTTGAAAAAGACGTGATAGTGTCCTTAGAAACTGATTTGGAAATGACCTTATTTTAATATAGTCAGTCATGAACTGAGGTGGGCCGGTCTGAGGCTTAAAACTCCAAGGCTGAAAAGGAGTCCCACTCCGGCCCTGCATTGAGACGATACTTAATTGGTACTAATGGGCCTAAAACCTCTTGACAAAGATTTGTCGCAGTAGTCTTGAGCCCATGTGGTGATATGGCTTAAAGATAAACAAGGATTCTTGATGCAGTGCTGCCTGAGGGACTGGAGATCACTGTTGTTCAGCCTAGGCTTGCACCCTTGTCCTTTACGCACTGAAATTCCTCCAGATTCCTGCCGCTGACCGCATAACAGCCAGTGGCGTAGCGCAAAATGCGGAGGCCCCCCTGCAGGGATCACCGATGGGGCCCCCAGTTTTCAAGGGGGTCGGGGGGGTTTGGGGGCGGCAGAGCCAGAGATATACACATATATCTATGATCGGGAGTTTTCCTGGATGTTAGTATTTTTATTTTTATTTCAATTATGAAACTTATAATTTTACATCACTTTTCTACATTGATGGATCAGTGACCGCACGGGCATTCCTGACAAAAAGCTTGTGTTTGCGTGTACAGAAATGTACTATTCACCCTCGCTGTTAAATTTGATCCTCTCCTGCTTTCACTTCTCATACTGACGGAGGGAGCGATTTGTTTGTGAATGAATCTCCATTATCAACGACTCCTTCACTAGCCGACAATAATACAAGTTTCTGGCAGCGCAGCATCTCGTTGTCATATTTCTTTTTCATTGTTTGCTGATTTTATTCAACAAAACTAGCATAAGCTGAGTATTTAGTGCGAATTGGAGCTACTTTGACTTATAGTGAATGCAGTAAGTGGCTGTATTAGTATCAATAACGCTACCTGTTTAGCACAAATTTCAGAACATACAAAAACGTAAAAAACTTAATCCTACCTATGGAATGTTCTGCCTTTGTGCTTTGTTTTCTTTGTTTGCTCGTTACTACACTCGTAGACAGCGCTACAGTCCCGCATCTTCACGTAATTGTCTAGTGCGACTGAATGACATTTGTCCTGGAAGCACTGTACCAATGTGGCGGCGCTATTGACGCATGCTCAGGGTCCCTATACAATATCTAGTGTATATATCTACGTCACAAATTGAGGTGCGGGGAAAGGAGGTGGAGTGGAGCGACAACGCAGGGAATCCTTCACAAACTGAGGAGCGATCACAAACCGAAAGCGGCGAGAGCGTCAAAGTAGCCAGAAGTCATTCATTTTTTAACGAGAACCGGCGGCGAGAAACAGCGGCGCGTCTTCATTGGCTATGACGCGGTTCGGCGGCAAGCAATCAGAATGAAGTAGTCCACCGCTTGAGAGGTGTTCTGAGAACACAGACCTGTGAACTTTGGTTCCGTCCACAGTTGTTCCCAAGAGTTTGATTATTGCGGTTCCTGGATTTTCAATTTTTGAATATCGCGACGACGTGGGGCCCCCTAATCACGCGGGGCCCCCCCGCGGTGCGTGCCCTGCGGGCCCGTCCGCTATGCCACTGATAACAGCATCCGCTCCTCACTTTTGCAGACCGAAAGCCCCCTGCCCGCTCTTCACTCTCGCCGACCGCATACGAGCCCCTGCTTTTAACTTTTGCTGACTGCAACCTCCCCGACCGCTCTTACCTTTTGCCGACCGTAACCCCTCCGACTGCTCTTCACTTTCACTGACTGCATCCCCCCTCCGCTCTTTACTCTTGTCGACCGCATCCACACCGCCCGCTCTTTACTTTTGCCGACCGAAAGCCCCTCGCCTGCTCTTCACTTTCGCCAACCATAACATACACCACCCCCCATGCTCCCTCCCCCACCCCCATCTCTTCACTTACACCAATCGCACTCTAACCTTTAATTTAGAAGTATGCCCACAGAAAATGTAGGTGCATTGGGCTCAAAATTGCTGGCTATGCCCCAGCACGTAAATAGCGAATGCACTATGGTGCGTCTGCAACTAACTAAGGGAATGGGAGATGGGAGACTCTGACTGGTTTAACTCACGTTATGCTTAAAATACACCATGTGCTGGGTACACAGACTCTTTTTTTCCCATCCTTAAAATAGTAAAAGTGGATTCGGACATGCTATTAGCACCATGTGCTTTAGACTTTGCGCTTGGATCATTAAAACAGAGCCCATAATCAGAATCTTTACAGTCAAATGAGGAAAAAACAAATAAATAAATGAAAGTGCGAAGCAGTGGTGCAGTAGGTAGTGCTGTCGCGTCACAGCAAGAAGGTCGCTGGTTCGATCCTCGGCTCAGTTGGCGTTTCTGTGTGGAGTTTGCATGTTCTCTCTGCGTTCGCGTGGGTTTCCTCCGGGTGCTCCGGTTTCCCCCACAGTCCAAAGACATGCGGTACAGATGAATTAGGTTGGCTAAATTGTCCGTAGTGTATGAGTGTGTGTGAATGCATGTGTGGATGTTTCCCAGAGATGGGTTGCGGCTGGAAGGGCATCCGCTGCATAAAAAACTTGCTGGATAAGTTGGCCGTTCATTCCGCTGTGGCGACCCGGGATTAATAAATGGACTAAGCCGACAAGAAAATGAATGAATGAAAATAACCCAAAAAAAGTGAGGGCAAGTGAGGGGATATACGAACAAAAATGAATAAGTAGCACGGTTACATCATTCATTCCCTTATATAATTCAACAAACTAGTGGAAAAAAGGTTGCCAGGCATCAATAGTTACAGATTTGGCCTTATTAATCCTTGTTGTAACTATATGACGAAGGATATGAATGCATTATTGTTTTTGTGCACGTGTGGTGTGAACCAATACTATGACACCTTTAAACACAAAAGACATGCGCAGATGTTGTGAGTGGAAGGGGAAGACTCACTCTTGTTGTAGCATGTGGTCAACACGGCCTTGTCTGCCGGACTGCCGCTGATGTGCCAGATCTCTCCAGCATCGTGCAGGAGGACGCTCTTATTAATCATGTTATTCTCATCATCAAAGTCAATGATGTGGATCTGCAGGAGAGAAACAAAGCAGAGCGCTGAGGAGAGAGAGCGAGCGAGAGAGAGTCCTGGCGGCGGTTCAAAGCGCCGGGACTTCACTCGCAAATATTTGCTTTAATATGACAATAAATGAAATCTCAAACGCTTTTTAAACTTCACACACTCCTCCTGACGCTGATTTCCCAGCTTTTTTATTCCTACTTTGAAGAGGCTGCGTCGTTTGAACTGATTTTAGACGCAGGAAAGTTTCGTGAAGCGTCACAGATTTGAAGAGGGGAAAAATGCAGTGATACAGATGCTTCAAATGTGGCCTTCAGGAGACAGGTTGCTATCAAAAATCACCACCAAAATTTCTGACTAAAAGCATGGACTGGACTGAAAGTTCATCAAGGGTTAGACAAGATTCTAGGTCTTTGAGTGAGAGGCTTTTGGGTCAAATAAGCAAGACCTGTTAGCAGGCCCGGTTTAAGAATTCAGAGGCCCCTGAGAACAATGTCTTGTAGGTCCCCTACCTGGCCGCACCCCATAGTTGAATTAAAAAATAAGGTTAATATAATATTTTTTTAAATAAAATGAATGGATAATGTGGCGAGGCACTGGCGCAGTAGGTAGTGCTGTCGCCTCACAGCAAGAAGGTCGCTGGTTCGAACCTCGGCTCAGTTGGCGTTTCTGTGTGGAGTTTGCATGTTCTCCCTGCCTTTGCGTGGGTTTCCTCCGGGTGCTCCGGTTTCCCCCACAGTCCAAAGACATGTGGTACAGGTGCATTGAGTAGGCTAAATTGTTCGTAGTGTATGAGTGTGTGTGTGAATGTGTGTGTGGATGTTTCCCAGAGATGCGTAGTGGCTGGAAGGGCATCTGCTGCGTAAAAACTTGCTGGATAAGTTGGCGGTTCATTCCACTGTGACAACCCCGGATTAATAAAGGGACTAAACTGACAAAAAAATGAATGAAAAGATGCTGTTAATTTGAGGGTATTTACATCCAAATCAGGTGAACGCTGTAAGAATTACAATCGTTTGCATATGTGCCTCCCACTTGTTAAGGGTCCAAAAGTAATTGGACAGAATAATAATCATAAATCAAGCTTTTGCTTTTTAATACTTGGTTGCAAATCATTCTAAAATCATTGAGCAATCAGGGAAGAATTAGGTGAGTTCAATAGTTTACATTTGTGACCTTTTATATAGTGAAAAGTATGTTGGAAGCATGTAACTATTGACTTACAGTTACAATGGGAGTCAATGGTTACATGCTTCCATTCATTTTCTTGTCGGCTTAGTCCCTTTATTAATCCGGGGTCGCCACAGCAGAATGAACCGCCAACTTATCCAGCAAGTTTTTACGCAGCGGATGCCCTTCCAGCCGCAACCCATCTCTGGGAAACATCCACACACACATTCGCACACACACTCATACACTACGGACAATTTAGCTTACCCAATTCACCTGTACTGCATGTCTTTGGACTGTTTGGGAAAACCAGAGCACCCGGAGGAAACCCACGCGAAGGCAGGGAGAACATGCAAACTCCACACAGAAACACTAACTGAGCCGAGGTACGAACCAGCAACCCAGCGACCTTCTTGCTGTGAGGCGACAGCACTACCTACTGCGCCACTGCCTCGCCTACATGCTTCCAACATTCTTCAAAACATCTTCTTTTGTGTTCAGCAGTAGAAAGAAGATCATAAATGTTAGAAACAAGTCGAGGGTGAGTAAATGATGACAGAACTTTCATTTTTGGGTGAACTGTCCCTTTAAAATGTACATATCTAATAAGAATAAATGGTTACCTCATAGTAACTTAAGAGTACAAAAGTGTACCCTAAAGGTACAAAACTATGTGTGTGTGTGTGTGCATACGCGAGGCCATCGTTGGCTTTCAGGCAGCTGAGAGTTGGAGAGGAAGCCATTAACCTTGGGTTGGACTGCACTGAAGGAGAATTATTAGGCAACGTTATAATTTTATGGAGGGAGGCAATACAAATAAATTTCGATGGCTGGACAGGATAATTGGAGGCGTTGGAAGGTTGTGTAATGAGCGCTGGGCTAGGAGAGACCGGCTTGTGATTTATCAGCCTCTGCTCCAAAGTGAATTATCACATGAGCCTCCTCTCTTGCCGTAGCGCTGAAGTTTCCCCTCCCTCAAATGGTTCCAAACCTTTATCAGTAGCTGCGTCCCAAATCGCATACTTATGCACTATTCTACGCCATTTTGTAGAATTAATAGTGTAAGTAGTGCGTTCACACTGAAAACTCTAAAAATAGTATGTGCACTTTAATTACCCGGATGATGCACTCATTCAGCCGCTAAAGTGTGGAAACACTGCAGAAACACTTTGATTGACATTCTACCTTTTGTACGTGTCATCAGAGGGGGAAAGCCCCGCCCACTAGTGACCATCTCTCTCTCATTAGCATGGACAGTGTGCCATTTCTGTAACGTTCCAACAAACTTTGATACTTTTCCATGCTTTGTTCCAAACCTCTATGAGTTTCGATCTTCCATTAAACATAAAAGAAGATATTTAGAAGAATGCTGAAACCTGTAACTATTGACTTTTGTAGTATTTCATTCCTGTTATTGATGTCAGTAAAAGTGTTTCGCTTTTGATTACAACAGAAAAAGGCACTAGCTGCGTCCCAAATGGCACACTATACACTATGCACTCATGCACTATGTACTTATGCACTTTCACATTCAACAGGATAGTATATGTATGTAGTGTCGTCCCAAATGGCACACTAATGTTTATTTTACTAAGCGGAAATTCAAACCGTTTCCCTAATCAGTGAAATAAACGACCAAATTATCAAATAATACCTGCCGTGAGTATTGCCGCGTTCACCATCGGGAGGCGCTATAATCACTCTCGTAGGAAAATTTTGCTTTCGCCATCCAAAATAAATAAAGTTACACAACATGTGCGTCCGATAGCTCCACCCCTTCCTC